GAAGGACCTGATGGTTTTCTGGTCCTCTATTGCTCGAAGGATCATTTTGAACATCACCGAGAAGACAACCCCAGAGATTAATCCAGCTATGGCTCCAACGAAGAACCCTAAGATCCATGCCGCTACTTTCTTCTTCTTGTTCTTCTTCTTCTTCTTCGTCTGCTTTTTCTCCGGTTTTGGAGTGTCCCCTGTTGCTTTCGATGTGGTGGTGTTGTTTGATTTCTTCGTGGAATTTGAAGACGGAGTTTCAGCAAGAATGTGTCTTGTTTGGTGTGGAGATGACTGTAATTTGATTTTGCTCATAACCGGAACCGGACCTTCCAAAAACCGGTTTTCAGAGAAATCAAAGAACCGGAGATTGTGCAACGACACAACTGCCTCCGGGATCTTGCCTGAGAATAGATTGTTTGCGACGGAGAGGCTCTCAAGATTGCGTAGATTCTTCAAGAAATTCAAGTTCCCAGAGAATTTGTTCGAAGAAAGATCAAGGATTCGAAGACGGATCAAACCAGAAAAGTTCCCCGGAATCTGACCGGAAAATCTGTTGTTTCGAACATCAAAGACTTCGAGCTTCTTACAGTTTAAGACATCCACTGGAAGACCGTTGACCAACTGGTTGTTAGATAAAGTGAGTTCCTTGAGCTCCGACAGCTTTCCGACCGCCGGCGATATGGTCCCCGTCAAGCTCCGGGATCGGTAAACGAGCCTCGTTACACGGAGAACGTAATCTCCGGTGGCGGAGGAGAGTCTTCTCTCGCAGAAAACTCCTCCGCGACCGCACGGGTTGACGATACCAGTGGACGAAGAGAGTTGACCGTTGACTCCGAGCTCTGTTTCGATGATTTGAAGAGCTTTGAGATCTGAGGAATCGATCTCGAGCCACTCGGTGGAGGAGACGAGAGAAGAGAGAATAAGAAGGGAGAGAACGGCGAGGAAGAGTGGCCGGAGAAAGCGATCGGCGTTTCCCGTGGGAACAGCCATTTTAATAATTTTTTGTTTAGAAAGAGTTTCTTCTTGTGGGTATTGTCGGAGTCTACTCTTAGTTTATTTATGGTCAGCAACTGCCGCTAATCTATTGAAAAGTCTTTTACGTGTTCTACGGTTTTGTTTTTCCTACAGAATGTTATTTCATTATTTCAATATATATTCTCAAGTTAATTTTGTATTATTATATGACTTATTTATGTGAAGACTGACTTTAAGTCACTTTTTTCACAAGAAGTACAATATTGATTGTTGAATTTAGAAATTAAAATTAACAATATACTCACGTTAACATGTATATTATATACATATGGTTAGGACTTAGGACTGCCTTCTGCCGTGTTCAAGGGATCCCAATCCCGAATCCATATGTAAGAAAGTTACGTGATTGTTGAAAATTGCTCAGAAAAAAAGGTGAGAGTATTGAAAATTGCTCAGAAAAAAAGGTGAGAGTATTGAAAATTGCAAATAATTTGCAATTTTTATTATAAATCTTGGATGATCTATGTTATTTTTTTTTGAAAATAAATGGATGATCTATGTTAGGACTCTTATCTCATGTTCAACGACCACTAAACTACACATGCATTGCATGCATGCATACTTATGAATTTTATTTGATAAAAAAACACATGATTTTTTTTATATATACTCTCTTATTAATTACTGGTTTTGGAGGAAAATCGATTCATTATGTAATTCGTTTTTTGTTTTTTTTTTTGTTAATTAGTTCATAATCCTAATCTTGTTTTAACTAAAGTTTGAGAATGAAAAAGAACAACATTAAACAAAACCTACTAATCCTGAACCGTGGGATGAGCTACTCGTAAAGTGTATGATCGGGTAACTTTCCAGGATATAGTATATGGGAAGTAATGTGGAAAATGTGAACATAGGCACATAGCTAGTTGCAACTTGCAATCTTAAAAAAATGAAAAAAAAAACTTGCAATCTTAAAAAAATGAAAAAAAAACTTGCAATCTAGATAGGGATTCAGTTATTGACTTGACCGTGTAAGCGTTGATAAGTCAAAAGTCTACTCTGTGGGTTCCACAGTGAGCCACCGGTCTCTACACGTTAGAAATTATTGGAGGTAATGTATGGTTCCACACCTTTTTTCTTTTTCAGTCACTATTGTTAGCGTTTTATCATTTATTATGTCGATAAGTTCGTTGTCGGAATTAATAAGATTCCGAAAGGTGAGAGTGGAATCAGTCGTTCGAAAACAGACTGCAAACTAACAGCAAAAGATAAATATACAATGGTGAAATAAGTAGTAAATGAAACAACTGTCTGTATCTCGTATCGATGCGCATATCGGCATATTCATATGCAATGGTGGACACATAAATTACTTTGATGGGAAACAAAATATCAATTTTAAAATAACAAATTTGGGTGAATAGACAAAATTTGCCAAACATGGTAGTAACTTTTCTCATCATTTGTGTAACATCCCTGTTTCTAGATCTTAATTTTTAATTTCCAATTAAATCAATTCTTTTTTCTTTTTTCTTTTTTCCTTTTTCCTATTAAAATGAAATAAAGTAGTCACAGAGCATTATTACATTCGAAACATAAAAATAATAAACAAAAGCTTGATTATCCATGATTTCGGCTTTGGCAAGAATATCTGCTAGAAATTTTTCATCTCTTGAAATCCATTGAAACTTGATATCATCAAACTTTGTGCTCCATTGCCATATTTCTCGTATCCAATTAAAGACTCCAAAGTTCAAAGGTTCCTTTGTAACCAGCTTGATTAGATTTTTGCAATCTCCTTCAAAAATAACCTTTTTGAACCCCTTAATCCAACAATTTTGCATAGCAATTATCAATGCTTGAAACTCACTTTATAGAGCATTGTTTGCTTGTGAACTTTCAGCTTGACCGGCGCCGCGCCGTTATAAACTCCTTGATCATCTCTTATAATCCAACCAGTTTTAGAGTGTTACATATGATCCATCATAGTTACACTTGATCCAGCCTTTTTTTCTTTCGGGATATTCTTTCCACCAAATATTTCTTGTTTTTATTCTTTCTTATCTAAAATATTATTATTTCATTGTACATAAATCCAAATCTTCATTTTCTATTTCTTTTTTTTTATGATTTGTCTATATATGTTTCTACAGGGAATCAAAATCTGAACAAGGCAATACTACAAGGAGCCAAAATACCAAACCAAAGTGTCAAAGACACATAAACATTTTAAACCGAAGTGAACCGGTGCATCCTTACCACATTTTCTATTCGGTTCAAGTTCAACTTCCCGGTATAAGTTCAACTTCCCGGTTCAAGCAAACTGGTTTCCTTCGCCTTCTCACTCTTGACTTTTTACATTGGACTAGAGTTTCTCCGAGAGGCGGCAAGCGATTCGCAGGCTGTTTTTTCACGACGAAGTGAGAACGTTGAGATTAGAAAACCTGAAAATGGAGAATCGAGAAGATCTTAAATCGATTCTTCCATACCTTCCTCTTGTGATCCGCTCGTCATCGCTGTATTGGCCGCCGCGCGTGGTGGAGGCGCTAAAGGCCATGTCTGAAGGACCGTCTCACAGCCGAGTTGACTCGGGAGAGGTTCTCTGGCAAGCTATTTCCGATATGAGACGATCCCTTTCTTTGTCAAACACCCTTCTCGCTCCCTCTGCTTCTCAAGGCTACGCCTTTTTATTCGACGAAGTGATTAATCCCCTTTTTCTTTGGCCTCGCTTATCAAGTTTTGGTTTTTATCAAATTCCCCTGATTAATTTCTCCTTGCAATGGAAATTGTGGTGATGGATTTGAGTAGCTGAATGAAAGTTTTGCTATTAATACTTGCAGCTGATACATGATAAAGAGTCAAAGAGATGGTTTGATGAGATTATCCCGGCAATCTCGGGGTTACTCCTTAGGTTTCCATCTCTATTAGAAGTCCACTTTCAAAATGCGGATAGTGTCGTTAGTGGAATCAAAACAGGTCTCCGCTTGTTAAATTCTCAACAAGCTGGCATAGTTTTCCTCAGCCAGGTATTGATGCTATGTGCTGTTTCCTACATATCTGTTTAAAAGTGCATTCCTTTTAACGAAAAACAAGTTTAAAGTAATATTTCTGACTCCTGAGTGATTCATGGGTAGGAAAAATAGGTCGAAGTTATGTGTTCTTCCTGAAATTTTGTCTTCGACATTATTGGTATCAACTTCCTGAATCAGATAACGTCCAAGTGATTGATTTTCACACTTGTTGTACACGACGTTGTTCAGTTTGCTAGATAGGATTTGCTGGATCGCATGGTTAATCTGTTAGATATATTCGGAAGAGTGATGACCTGGTCTTGTTGAAGATGTAGTAGTCTGTGTCTTTATGGATTATCAGTTTCTTTACATGTCCGTTACGCTTTGCAGGAGTTAATTGGAGCTCTTCTTGCCTGCGCTTTCTTTTGTTTGTTTCCAGTTTCTAATAGAGGTGCAAAAGACCTTCCAGTCATCAACTTTGATAATTTGTTTGCGTATGTGATCTCTCGCTTTAACTTCTAAACTTTTCCTAACAATTAGGCCTACATTTTAATATTTATTTCAGTGACAATCACACTAGGGAGTTTAAAAAAAAAAGTAAATCCTCTAGAGATCCCATGTGGCTTCAGTTTCCATTGAGAGCTCACTTGTTAGACATAAAAAAGCCTGCTCTGGAAAAAACATATTTTACAATGATTCACTGGCTAGCATGTGTCATGTCAAGATTGCGTTTTTTTAATCTGAAATTCACTTGTGGTAGCTTGTCTCGTGGCCATTGAGTAAGTTTCATTTGACGACTTCGACTTCGGGTAGATGCAGTCCGACATAAAAGTTTCATTTGCTTTTCAGGAGCCTTTATGAAAGTTATAGTGAAAGTCACGAAAGCAAGATAAGGTGTATTATGCATTACTTCGAAAGGGTGTGCTCTTCTTTGCCTACTGGGACCGTTTCATTTGAACGCAAAATTCTTCCGGCTGAATACCACAATTCTTCTACAACTTCTCCTGAGGCTGATATTTGGAGCAAGTCTGACGTTTCCCTTTGTGCCTTTAAGGTAATAGGAACACGGTTGTGGATTTCTTTGCTTTGCACCACAATTTTTGCAAATCCTTGTAGATTATTTTCTCAGACATATTCTATTGTTATAGGTTCACTCTTCTGGGTTAATAGAAGATCAATCTAATAATGCTCTGGAAGTGGACTTTGCGAACAAGTATCTCGGAGGTGGTGCCCTAAATAGGGGGTGCGTACAGGTTTGACACTCATACTGCATATTAGATTTCAGAAGCATACATGATTCGTTCCTTGAGTCTTGAGTTTCTTTTTGGTAAAACAATGGCTTGGGATTTTTCGTTTGCTTTTAATATGATTCTTGTGCAGGAGGAGATACGCTTCATGATCAACCCTGAATTAATCGCTGGCATGCTTTTCTTGCCTCGCATGGATGACAATGAAGCTATAGAAATAGTTGGTGCAGAAAGATTTTCATGTTATACAGGGTGAGATTTGGTAGTGTTGTATCATTGTTCTATCTGTACTTAATAATGGCTGTATTAATCTCTGTATTTTGTTACTTGTATGAACCAATAAGCTCGTTGACATGTCAATCTGTACAAATCCTGATTGAGGCACGTTGAAAAATAGTAAAAGAAGTGTGCAACTAAATTATATATTGTTTTATCTTGTAGTTATGCATCATAAATAAGGGTCAGAGTTATGTATTTACTGACGTAGTAGTGGTTGGCATCTAGATTATCAGCTTTTGAATAATCGTTGATTCTTTATAGTTATTTACCCTTATTTTCCGCTATAGGTATGCATCTTCATTTCGGTTTGCTGGTAACTACATTGACAAAAAGGCAATGGATTCTTTCAAAAGGCGGAGAACCAGAATTGTTGCAATAGATGCATTATGTGCCCCGAAGATGAGACATTTTAAAGATATATGCCTTTTGCGGTATGTAAAACCTTCTTCTGGGGATTCAAAGTTTAATTAGACAATCTTAAGTTTGTGTTTATTTGACATTTTAGAGGTTTGCTACTCTTCTATTCTCTTT